GCCCGACGGTGACCCGAGGTCGCTGAGCTTCAGAGCTCCGATGCAACTGACGTTCAAGCCGGCGCATTCGCCGTCGTTGCACCGCCTCCCGGTCGGTCTGGCGAGTACAAGCGGCCGGAGGCAGTCGACCGGTCGTAAGGACATTGTGGCCAGAGATGCCATCCGTCAGGGCGCAGGCGGTGTTGCAACGCAAGGAGCAGGGCAGTTGCCTGGCCGTCTGAGTCTGGTCAGACACGCCGGCCGGCCTTGCTGGCCCGGCTTGTCGGTCGACAGTCGAGACGGGGATACTGGCGTTGGCGGCTGCCTTGAGCCTTGTCGGTACCTCCGTGACGGTGGCGATGCCAGACATCGAGGACAGAGGAGCGAAGGCGGTTGCTCTGAGTTGGCCAGATGCAGACATGGCGGTAGAAGGAGTGGTCGGCGAGGTGCCATCCAATTGTAATGGCGGCGGTCGAGGCATATTTGACCGTTTTACAGGATTTTTGCTGCCGTGACCGTCTGAAATGATGGCGGGAAGGAGACAGAAATAGAGTTGAGTGTAGAAGTCAGTTTTGACAATAAATATTAAATGGGCAGAAAAGTGAGAACCATTTTTGTATAGGAAGTCTCTTCGCCCTAATTGGCAGTTGGAGTTTGCCACCATTTTATGCCTATTCATAGCATTGTGGGAAAGTTCAACTGTTAGTCCTTTATTACTTAAACAAAATATGGTTAATATAGCTCTTATAGAAGCTCTTCTGGTAGTCTAGACAGATAATTAATAAAGCAAAAATAGGGAGCCGCTTTGCCACATAATCCGTCTTTCTAAAGAATTAGGGAAGCACAAGGGAATCGTCAATTTGCCTCACCGTCCTGACTATTCCGCGCTGAGCTTTTGTCTGCCCCAAAGTGGTAAACATAAAATCAACCACAAGCTATAATTTCAGATAACTCATCAAACTTTAAGCGAAGTATAGTGACTAGCCGTAATCAAATCTACTTTATATCACCTAACCTTCCAATCCTAATTATGCATGCTAATATAATTAGATATGAACACCCGAGTGATATGGCCTTAGTTGTTTTGCATAATATTGGTTAATGAAAACTTTAGTACCCCTACGTCGCTGTAGGTCTGAAGGACTGAGGGTCACAATGAGATGAGTAGGCCTCACTTTTCCACTGAATTTCACTTAAATTTGCTTCCCAAAAGGCTGGATTGGACTGCAGTTTCGACTACGCCTAAGTTTCATCAACACACCCAGTGGGAAAAGAAATCGGTGATTAAAGAGCATAATTTCTACGGCCTATCACAACGCCAAACTACCACGATTCCCAGTCGGATACAGGTGGAAGTGCATTTTTAAGTGAGTTGGATCTCGCTAATATCACATTTTATAATGGGAGTGTTGCTATGGCAAACATGTATTTGCCATTCCAGTCTACAACATTACTTGTATTCGAATTATCTAGGATTTTAAGACTATCATTGGGGTTTGAGCAAAAGCTTTTGTGATCATGGATTGGTTTAGGCGAAATGAGTAAGCCTCTCATAGACTATACTGATCATGATACCGGCGAAACGTCTGGCAATCTACTAAGTCAAAGGTCAGATGCTGAAAATTATCATGAACACTATGAAAGAGGAACCAAGAGTAGATATGCTCTACAGGATCTCCCTGTCGGTCCAGCCGGGTTACGAAGACGAGGTCAAACTAACGCTTTGCTATGCTTTGGTTGGCTTATTTATAATCATCTCTGCGTACCTGCAGATGAGTGAAGGCAATGAAGATGAAACCGAATTATCTCCCTAATAGCCTATAGTAAAATCCTGCATTTTTAATGTATATCCTGATGCATTTTAGATGGACGAAGTCTAATTAAAGGTTAATCAAGCCTCATCTTTCTCAACAGTTCTTCCTGCTCCCTTGCTCTGACAATATCCCCTTGTCCGAAGTATTTTTCCTCAATTTCACATATTAATTCTTTTTATTCAGAATGATAGTCCCTACTCGTACGATAAGGTGCAAAATCTCCATATTCTACAAAATATTATTTCTGGTTTCTTGCATCAACCCTATATTAATTTAGTGTATTTGTGCTGAGACAGTCACTCTTGTAGGGGCAGAAAGATAATTCCTACATAGACGCTACAACATAAGCAAAATCTTTGCAATATCATGATCTAGGAAGGCGGTTCGAAAATTCTCCCATATAATGTACAATTAAGCAGTGTCAATTTAATATTATAACTTGTTCTAACTTCCCACTTGCCCAGTGATGCATATACCTTCTTCGAAAGAGAACAAGAGGGAAAAATCAGGAGCCTAGAGGAGCTATTGCGCTCCTTGCTAAGCCTTAAATAACCGCTTAACGTCCGTATATTGCTAAGAGTCGTGAAATGCGTGTCAATTAACTTGAGTGGATAGTTGTAGCGAGCTAAAATTTTCTGCAATTTTTCTTATTCCTGGTCCCGGCGACATACGGCAGCTATGCGCGAAATTGTTATGCATGAGCCGTACTCACCCTATTAAGTTTAAGGTGAAGAAGGAATTGATTTTATAGCCAAGACCTTGCTTCTATATCTGATAATAAAAGGAAAAGAAGAAAGAAAACTTGAATTTAAGCCTTTGCTTTTCACAGGCCTACCAAAAATTTATCAATCTTAACTTTACGGGCATATCCAAAAATTATGGTTTGAGAAAGTAAGATGAGATTGATTGTATGAAATTCACAGAGGACGGATTCGCTGCCATCCTAGATACATCCAAACCTTAAATTGTACAAATCGACAACATTCACTTTCAACAGTTACGATATAAACGATTCCTTCTCCCACATTTCTCAACCAAACCGGTCTAGCCATAAAAGCTACGATTGCATAATAACTCAATAAAACCACAGCCATTAATTGTAATTTAGCATCTGTGCTAAGGAAAAGTAGCCGCTTAATTAATCAGCTGGCCATGTGCCCCATCAGAACAAGGTAATGCACAGGCTGTCTGACTAAGTCAGGTGTGTTTTCAGCACACTTCGGGTTTGGGTCCGACTGCGAACTGAGATGGCCGAAGCAAACCAGTGCATGACCAAGCTTGACTAAATCCTACCAGCTAATGTGAAGTTTAGAGGCTTCAAGCGTGACGTTTAACTTTTGGTGGGAGAGACTTATTTCTTCCGGTACTCGTGGGTCTAGCCTAGCCCTCATCGATTTGTTCGTTTTATGCTTTATAGCCAAAATCTTCATTTACAGTTTTTTTTATCATATTCAACCCTTGAGGCCATATAATCGGACCATTCATTTGGTGGGAGCAACTCATAAGAAGATTGCCGAAGTCGTAAAGAAAATCTGTCCCAGGCCTGAGTTGACAATGGAATATGGGTCAGTACACCTCCTTATGGACAATTATATTCATAGAGGTCAAAAGGAACCAAGGTCTGTGATTCTCGGAACTTTACATTCGCCTCAGGGCGCTTCATATAGGACACACTGTAGTTTTCTCATGGAGGGCTATATCAGCAAAACTTTCAGAAATTTTTTTCCCAGGAAAACATTATCCTAGCAACTTCGGGAACCCTTTTCATATTTCGTAGAGTGAGGGCATGTGAAGTGTCCTTATTTCCCTCTTGCCTTCAATTCATAGTGGGATAATTCGTTTTCAGTATACTGACGAAAAAAAATTTGTGAAAGAAAACTTTATTAAAGATGAGCACACTTTTTGCCGATCATTTTAGCCATTGCAGGATTCTACTCCCTGGACGTTTGCGACTATCTTCATTTTTAGAAGATATAAGGATCAAGATATTGTGGCCTCTTTTTG